CGCTTGTTCTTTTTGAATAAAGTCATGGATACACTTACTATTGAAAATTTTTGGGGGTTCCCCCTTTTTTGGGTATAGTATGTTTAAAACTTGTCAGGTCTGTTTTAAAAGGTTTTTGATGCAGCTGGTATTTTTACTTCTGGTTTTGATGCAACAGATGTTGTAGGGAAATTAAAGCAATTTGCCACCCTTAGATTTTCGTGGATCCTCATTATTGATAGTGAGTCTATGTTAGACCCACTATGGTTATGGCTTACCCCAAATGTTTTTGTTGTTCCAGAGCTTTTTGGGGTTGTGCTTATATCTTCAATTTTTTAGAGTATGCTTTGCCTTTTCTCCTTTTTTAAGCTCTGTACTCGTTTTCACCCCCTTTTTAATTCATTTAGTGCTGCAATTCCTGTCTGTTTGCTTTTAACTTTTTAGCAGTGGTCTCTGAATTTCATATTATCTAATATCTTGTATTCATTCCCGGGGTTTAGTTCTTCGTTTAAAAACCTAACCTCTTTAAATGGTGCAATATTTCAAGGTGGGCTGAACATTGTTTTGAATTTTTCCAGCATGTTTATGTCCGTGCAACTTGTTATCTCTGTCCAGTCACAATTTTGTAGCCTATTTCCCCTGTTCTTTACTGTAGTTTTTTAGTTGACCTCATTTTTATTGTCCGTGTAGGGTATCCCATCCCCAGGTTTTCCCCGGGGGGGAGTAAAAGATGAAATGATCACTAAGGGCCTTGGATGCGCCCGACTGACTATGTTCTCAGGCGGGTTTCAAAGTAGTGGTCAATTGGGTGGCTGAGAACTGTGTGAATTCGGTTTGGTGTATTAATTTGGTTGAGTGTAAATATTTAAAAATAGAAATTTTCTTTACCTTTTTCCCTAGCCCGTTATTTTGCTGCTGAAAAAAAATTGAAGTCCCCATATTATTGTCTTGAATTGTTTTCAAATCCGGACAATACCCGAAAAGTTTTAAGAATGGGCCTGGGTAGGAGGGCGGTAACTAGTTCCTACTAAATGGGTTTTGGGCTTGGGGAAATCACTTCAAACCATGAATCTCCATTTATTGTTATTTAAATCAGGTCTTGGGTTTTAAGCTAAGATTTTTAATGTGGGACAACTCCCCACCCTTTCTGTTTCCCATCTAAGGTTTTAATTGTAAACCCTTTTTTTTGACCTCGTCTCAGTCACCATGTCATCCAACCAGGATGAGATGGTTATAACGCCACCCTTTTTGTTACTAGAATCTTATTTTGCCAATTTAGGAAGAAATGTCTTGCATTGCTGAATAAGTGAAGGCGTTTTTTATAAAACAATTATAATCATCATATATGACAATGGGTTTATTGTATTAAAATTAGGTAAATAAAGTCATCATTGAAAGGTAACTGGCCAAAGTGCTTTGTTACCACAAAAATGAATTCTGGCACCATTGCTATAAATTTTACTCATCCATCTCACCCACCCCTTCCCCTTTTAATAAGGGCCTTTTTGTTTTTCATGCTACTTTAGTCAGGTATGCACCTGTTTGGGAGTGTTTGAGATAAAATGGCTTTTGCTACTTGACCATGTAGCATTCATTGGAGTTAGGGTTTTCATTCAGCTACTGGCCGTCATTTCCCGTCATTTTTTTGTCGTTTTGCCTCTGCACTTTTTTTGGGGCCTGGTTAATTGGAATTTTCCCTTAGAGGCTACAATAGGCTGTGTGCCCTGTTTTTGTTTGGGTATGCGGTGTTGCCTCCTTGCGGCGATAGTGACATTTTCTTTTCTGGTAGGTGGCAACGTTGGGTTTTTTTTCTGTCCAGGGCGCGTTCCCCATTCACCTTTTCCAGCCCCATGAGATTTCTTTCTTCATGGATTGAGAAAAAAGTTAAATATAATTATGGCAGCCGTACCCCCCTAAGCCTGCCCTTTTCACTCTTCGCTTTTTATCATATACAAAAATATTTATTTCTCTTTTCCCGGTCACCTAGTACTTTAGTATTTGCTTTACCAATCACCCCTGAATTACTAGCAATTTTTTTTCTTCAAAAACCCCCTTTTTACTGCCAATTTTCCCTTAATTCACAAAACCCCTTTTATTAACCCTTATTACACCCCCTTCCCCCCCATTCACAGTCCGGCTTCACCTATTAACTTCTAACTCCTTTCCATTCTGGTGACCAGAAAGGTTTAATCAAAGATTTTTTCCCTTCCAAAATTCCCCCCATTCCATTTATCGGGGGTTTTTTTGTCGTGTTTTGACCCTGACCCGGGCTGCTGACTCGGCCTTTTTTAAAAAATGAGGGAGTAAACGCCCCCTACAAACCCGACTTTCCTTGAGCTAATAGTATATTTGGCGTTTCCTGCATGATTTTCTCGTACATGGGCAGCTGAATATTCACCTATTTACCTATTCACTTCTTTCCCTGAGGCACTGGGGGAAACCGTCTATAACCCTTTGGGTTTGTACTGTTATTTGCGAGTCTCCCGTGTTTTTCCTCTCGTTAGCACTGGGACAGGTGATATGATGATGGTAATATATGATGCTACTGTCAACAGATGAACTGTAAAGGAAATTTCCTTCACTAGTTATTGTTTTTGGCAGTAGTGGTGTTGGATGCCGGTCAGCCTGTTTAAAAGCTCATTCTTTCCCTTGTTTGGACGAGGAAAAAAAATTAGTTCCCAAATGCCAAACATACTATGGCCCTCTTTGTAACCATAAACCAAATTGTGAGCTTCTACAAGGAAATAAACATTTGAATTTGAAAAAATTAAGGGAAAGCCTGCACCCCACTTAGTCTACAAGTCAGGGGTGTTATAACTATTAGCCCACAGCTAAATGACAGGGAAACGACCCTCTTGTGTTAATCCTTGTCACAATGTGTAGCAAGGAAGGTATATAAAGCTGAGTTCAGCATTTTCCTTTGTGGGACAAGGGTTGAGGGTGCCAGGCAGGACGGCAAACTAGGTTGAATTCAAACATGAGAGCGTGAATACATCACAAATCTCCCACTGAGAACAAAGAAAATAATGATTGTATGATAAACTCTGAAATACTGTCAATCTTGACTAGGAAAACTAGTGTTAAAAACAAATGCGAGTGTAGTAATCCACAGTATAAATTACGATAAAGTGTAAGTTAGCATGTGACACCGTGGCATGCACTCAGTCCTAACCAAAGGGACAAAATATCACCCTATTGTGAATCGAATGGTGTTACTAAAGACTGAGGCGTTATGAGTAAGGACAATATAACTATGCAACTGTAGCAGCCTACTCAAGACATCATTCTCAGCCTTAATGGCTCTGTCATTGCCATATGCTCCTGTTACATGAGCTAGGTAAGTCTTAATCTCACTTGTATCGCCAAAGAAGTACTGTAGTCCATAGGTAGACACGAGTTGATTAGGGCTGCCCTATTCTAGGCATCATCTACAGGCTTTAAGTCCTGTAGCTCGATCACTAGCGCACTCAGCTCACACACTGAGGTGCGGGATTCAAATCTCCTCCAGTACGGCTGGAAAATATTAGGGACATGTTTCCATAAGACACCTGCTGTCCCTGTTCACCCATCAGTTCAAAATGGGTACCTGGGTGTTAGCCGACTGGTGTGGGTCGCAAAACTGACCTAATATGCCTGAAATGCTCAGCATAACAAGTGGCTTTCTAATTAGTAGTACATGTATATCATTGATGTCAGCTAGGCCGTATATCATGTACAAGTACTTATAGTAAATAAAGATACGTATTATTATTATAAAACCAGTGAGTACCACTACGCATTTCAGTCAGTTGTGAAATGCTGGATATATGCTCCTTTGGGGCAAATTGTAATATTTTATTCACTACTCAACAGCCATTATGGACACTACTACAACAGATATGAAGGCAATTTCATGGAGAGGCTGCTGAAAATCATGCTGTTACAAGATAAGTACCACTCTTTGTTATCATGTGTTTATTATCATGCAGGAAAGTATACTTATCTAACCAGTTCCTTCACATTAGGTGCCTGTCCAGTGCCTTCTTGAAGACAGCCAGGGGTCTATTGGTAATTCCTCTTATGTATGCTGGGAAGCAGTTGAATAGTCTTGGACCTTTGACACGTAGTGTGTTGTTTCTTGGCGTACTCGTGGTGCCCCTGCTTTTCATTGGGGGGATGTTGCATCTCCTGCCAAGTCTTTTGCTTTTGTAGGGAGTGATTTTCATGTGCAGATTTGGGACTAGTCTCTAGGATTTTCCAAGTGTCTAGTATTATCATGTATCTTTCTCGCCTGCATTTCAGGGAGTACAAATCAAGGGACTTCAACCATTCCCAATAATTTAAGTGCTTTATCATACTTATATGTGCCATGAAAGTTCTCTGTATATTCTGCAGTCTTTAATTTCACCTGCCTTGAAAAGAGCTGTTAGTGTACAGCATTAGTCCAGCCTAGAGATAACAAGCAGTTTGAAGAAAATCATCATGGGTAGACAGGGCAGTGCTTGCACTGTGAAGGAGGGGTAGGGATATTGCAGTCGGAGGGGTCAACTGATTGTGATGTCTTTGTAAAGATGGGGATTGAGTGAATGTTGTTGAATGCATTTTTTTCTTTGGGTTACCCTGCCTTGGTAGGAGACAGCTGTTGTAATACAAAAAAAAAAAAAAAGGAATCCTGGAGGTGGGATGTACAGTGCCTGCACTCTATATGAAAGGTGGGGATATTTGCTGTTTGGAAGATCATTTGAACTGTCATATCTGTGTGCCTCTGGCACGATAGTGGTAATGTAAATGATGGTGAAAATGTTTCTTTTTCAGGTCACCCTACCTTGGTAAGAGACAGCCAGTGTGTTAACAAAAAAAAAAAGCAATAATGAAGTTATTGAGCACTTTTAATTTTTCCCTGGAGAACTGGCACTTGTTGGAAACTAACCAGGTGATGCATGATGCAGTGAAATGGTAAAAAGATTTTCAGCCAGTAAGACAGCAAGATCTTTTACACTCTCATCAACTTTTTGATGATAGCATATTTTTTGTATCGGCAGATAATGTTGCAGTTGATGCAAAAGATGGAGTTACTACTTGTAAAAACTCCAGGTGATGATGTGAGAAGTGATGTCTTACCTCTGCTGTATCGTGCCTTGGAATGTGACACACAACAGATTCAAGAGTTATGCTTAAGTGTCATACCAGCATGTGCACAGCTAGTAGAAAACCATGCCATGAAAAATGCTCTTCTTCCCAAAATTAAAAAGCTTTGTCTGGGAACTGGATATCTCTCAGTAAGTAGGAAATATACATTCTGTATTGTATTCTTTATCTGTACTGTAATATGCAGTGCCAACTGAAAAAAATGTGAAAGATATTTTTATTGATTTTTTTTTTTAATTTCTTTTTCCCCCATTCCTTATTTCTCACCAAGGTAGAGTGAGTTAAAGAAGGAAACACACTATTCTAATACTAGGTCTTCTACTTTCAACAAACTGGCCGTATCCCACTGAGGCAGGGCGGCCCAAAAAAAAAAACGAAAGTTTCTCTTTTTAACTTTAGTAATGTATACAGGAGAAGGGATTACTAGCCCCTTGCTCTCGGCATGTTAGTCTCTTACAACATGCATGGCTTACAGAGGAAGAATTCTGTTCCACTTCCCCATAGAGATAAGAGGAAATAAACAAGAAGAAGAACTAGTAAGAAAATAGAAGAAAACCCAGAGAGGTGTGTGTGTATATATATGCTTATACATGTATGTGTAGTGTAACCTAAGTGTAAGTAGGAGTAGCAAGACGTACTTGAAATCTTGCATGTTTATGAGACAAAAAAGACACCAGCAATCCTTCTTCTTTCTTCTTTCAACAAACCGGCCATATCCCACCGAGGCAGGGTGGCCCAAAAAGAAAAACAAAAGTTTCTCTTTTTAAATTTAGTAATTTATACAGGAGAAGAGATTACTAGCCCCTTGCTCCCGGCATTTTAGTCGCCTCTTACAACACGCATGGCTTACGGAGGAAGAATTCTGTTCCACTTCCCCATGGAGATAAGAGGAAATAAACAAGAACAAGAACTAGAAAGAAAATAGCAGAAAACCCAGAGGGTTGTGTGTATATATATGCTTGTACATGTGTAGTGTGACCTCAGTGTAAGCAGAAGTAGCAAGACGTACCTGAAATCTTGCATGTTTATGAGACAAAAAAGACACCAGCAATCCTACCATCATATAAAACAATTACAGGCTTCCGTTTTACACTCACTTGGCAGGACTTTAGTACTTCCCTGGGTTGTTGCTGTGTACCAACCTACTACCTAGGGTGAATTATTTATTTTTTTATTTAGTTAAATGTTTTTAGATTTATATATGTAGGGGAAACAGCCAGATCTCTGGACATTAGGATCGCAGAACACAAAAATGCTTGCAGAAATGATGACTGCAAAAATGCGTGTGTTCAACATAGGGACGATGTTGGACACCTCATGAAATTCAATGAAGCTAAATTAGTGATTATAGAAGACGACTTAAGACGGAGAAAATGCACTGAAGCTGCACTAATCACTGTCAGTAACACTATAAAGGAAAAATCCGGTAGTTACAGTATTTCAAAATTACTTATCAAGAAGATATTACCCATCCTGGGAACTGCTGTTACATGATGTCAGCAGGTCCCTCTCTAACCTCACCTCCTTAGTTCCACTACTACTACTACTACTACCACCTCTACCCATGCGTCACTTCACCTGACTCCTGCCACTATATATATGCGTTTTCTTAGTTTTCTCTGTATTAGGACTGAAAAAGCCACTCGTGGCAAAACGTTTCCTTTAATAAATGTCCTGAACTGTATATAAGTGTCTTTTTCCACATCTTGTCGGTATCACCATACCATTTTCTCAAGAATATAAGAACTTAAGAAAGTAGGAACGCTGCAACAGGTCTGCTGGCCCATACTAGGCAGGTCCTTCACAAATCCAACCGACTAACAGAACAAATGCTACCCAAGCAATAAGCTCAGGTGCAAGTCCGACTCAAATCCAACCCCTCTCACTCATGTGCGTATTTATCCAGCCTAAATTTGAAACTTCCCAAGCCATAGCTTTTAGAACATAAGAAAGGAGGAACACTGCAATAGGCCTGTTGGCCCATACTAGGCCGGTCCTTCACAAATCCAACCCACTAACAGCATAACTGCTATACCCAAGCAATAAGCTTTGATAAACCTATTTACTCATGTGCAAGACCGATTCAAACCCAACCCCTCTCACTAATGTATTTATCCAACCTAAATTTGAAACTACCCAATGTTTTAGCTTCGATCACCCTACTAGGCAGACCGTTCCACTCATCAACTACCCCTATTACCAATGTTCATTTATACATTTTATTAGTGCTTTACATTTATTTGGCATTCTTTTCTGCATGTAAATCTATATTTAAGCTAGGTAAGTGACCCCTGAAGTGACCTAGAGCCATAAGAACATAAGAAATGAGGAACACTGCAGCAGGCCTGTTGGCCCATACTAGGCAGGTCCTTTACAATTCATCCCACTAACAAAACATTTGCCCAACCCAATTTTCAATGCTACCCAAGAAATAAGCTCTGATATGCAAGTCCCACTCAAATCCAACCCCTCTCACTCATGCATTTATCCAACCTATCCTCCTTATGGAGGGGGATTCCCCTTCCAAACAATAACCTCTCTTCCCTCTCTCCTCCTCCCTGTCTTCCATTCATCAACAACAGCCTTCAATAAAGGTAACTGTCATGTTGAATGTTCATTTTTTTGTGCATGTAAATCTATCTTTAAGGTAAAAAAAAATTGTTGATACTTCTGGGTGTCAGGAACGGATTAATTGTATTTACATTATTTCTTATGGGGAAAATTGATTAAAAAAATCGTAGATTTCGATAATAGTAGCACCTCCAGGAACGGATTAATTACGAAAAGCGAGGGACCACTGTATTCCAAAACATTATACATTGGTATCTAATGCAATACTCTTTACGTACATATATCTAATGCAATACTCTTTACATATACTGTACACTTTCTCAGTGCTGTGATTGAGTGTTTGGTATGGGAGGAATGGAATGACAGGTATAGGGGCAGGCAGCAGCTGGATTGCCTCCCTCTCTTTCTCACTCTTTCTCACTCATCATATCTAATCCAAGACTCTTTACATATGCTCACTACTCCCTCATTGTTTTGGTGAGAGTTAATGTGGTTGGGTATAAAGTGTTGAAAAGTAGTGGTTTGGATAGTTGCGTGAGGGAGGGCATGGCATGAGCTACCACTGTCCTGTACCTCACCTATGGACACGTCCAGTATGCAGGCAACAGAGATGGTTATTACTATAGAATGTAGATATTTTATCCATAATTCTTAACAAATCTCTACCAAAAATTATAAGTTCTTGCTTATAGCCTCTGCAAAAGAAATCTTTGCAATTAAATGCAAAAAAGTTTGCCAGTGATTGAGCAACAAACAATATTTCATATTTCCAACCAGGTAAAGAAAATTAATTAGAAATAGTCATACGCCTGGCAGCACCCTAACTCTGATAACATGACGTAGTAGTATGGCACTTTCTTAGTAACCCACAGCCCATAGTAGATGGAGATGTTACACTTGTAATTCATTCCTTTTGGCCTGTATGATTGTCTACTTTTTTCACCATCTAAAGCTGTTTCTGTAAATAATAATGAGTTGGTATAGGCTTTGTATGGAGGATAAGACTCTTATCATTACTCCTGAATGAGGGAGTCCTGTGAAGAATATTGCAGACATGTTGGGATGCACTTCAGAGTGTATCTGGAACCTCAACAAAGCTGTAAGAAACTTGTCTCATGGTACCACTTCCATTAGAAGAGAGGGCCTAGGAGGCCCCTGAAGACCAGCTCATGCACTGACACTCTTCAGAAGGGGTAAGCTAGGCTAAACTTTACAATTACTGTTCAGGAATTAAAAAACAAACATCCTGATGTCCTGGGAGAAGTGGCTGTATTCTTACTGAAAAAGTATCTGAGGATGCCATGTCATAGTGCTGGCAAGAAACCCCCTATCTCTGAGAGAATGTGCAAAGAACACCTTGCTTTCATGGCAAGCATAATGATTGGGGATGATAGATGATTGGAGGAACATCATGTTTAGTGATAAATAAATTTTTTGTTTCATCAGGAATGTCTCTGGGTGGGCTCATCATTCATGTAGCTCATCGAGGTTTGATCCTTGCTTCACAATCAAAACTATCAACAAACCCTGCCAAGGTCATGGCTTGGAAGTGTTTTAGCAATAACAGTGACCATGATGACCATTATTTCCTGCCCAAGGGTGATATGATAAATGGGGAGAAATATTTACAAGTCCTTGATGATAAACTTTTCACTCATTACCATATTCATGGCACCAGCACTTTAATGCACAATGGAGCCTCCTGCCACTACAGTATATTCCCAAATAAAGCTCATTAAATTGTTTTATGTTTTTAATTTTTTTTGCAGCAAAGTTTTTTTTTTTGCAGAGACTGTATATTGGTACATAAAAAATACACAAAATACCAATGTATTTGGTAATAAACTAACGTAATTTTTTTTTAATTTGTCAACTTCAAGAGCCTGGCCAAACAGGTAGTCAGCAAGGAAGACTAGCCCCAGGCTGGTTTTATGAGGATAGATAACCCTCAAATCTGGTCACAGGTGTATGCACTTATGCATATATGTATGTATGTATATACTCATCTATGTGTACTTGCTTGCATTGGCTGTAGGGATTGCATATTAGCTCCTGGCCCTGCCTCTCAACTTGCTGCTTACCAGATTCACTCCAAGCCTTGTTGGTTCTATCATACCTGCTCTTAAAACAATGTATGGTGCCTACCTCAATCACTTTTTCACCGAGCTTATTCCACTTTCCAACCATCCTGAGACTGAAGAAATAATTTCTGACATCCTTGTGACTCATCTGTGTCTTTAATGTCCAGCTTATTCCCTGAGTTTCCATTTATCATCTCTCAAACAGCCTGTTCCTGTTTGCCCTATCAATTCCTCTGAGTACCTTGTATGTTGTTATCAGGTCTCCCTTGCTTCTTCTGTTCTCCAGTGTCACTAGATTCTATTCCATTAGCCACTCCTCCTCATAGCTCATGCCCCTTAACTCAGGAACAAGCCTTATTGTGGACTTATGCACTTTGTCCAGTTTTTTAACATTCTTTCTCAGGTGTGGGTTCCACACTGGTGCTGCATACCCCAAGATGTGTCTCACATGTATAAAATGCCTGGTAAGACTTTGTTGAGATTCCAAAAGGCTATTGTTAAATAGCACCTGTTCTCCCTAACATAATTGATACAGCTGTGTCACACAAAACCTGCTCATCGTGTTCTTCTTCCATCTTCCTTCAACACCCATAGAAGATTGGTTGTACATATTGTTCCATTATATTTCTACTGTAACCAAGTAACTTTCTGTATCTTTACCATCTCAATTCAATCACTCCCCAAAACAGAAAATCATTGAATCAGTTCAAAATAATAAGTCATACTTCTGAAAGTGTACCATTTAATACCATTTAATAGTCTATGTCTAATTCCTAAGTAATCTTTTAGCATTAGGATTAGTTTGCCAAAATTGTTTTGCATACTCATGGGTTTCTTTTGTGATTCCAGTATTTTACTACATGTAATCTACATTATTTTTGTACCACAAAAGAAATAATATATGAATTTGAATTAGCTAGATATCTAAGCTTTGGCTTTCCTTTAGTATTCACATATGGCACTTAGGGTTTCTGATAGTTACTGACATCAGGCAAGGAATCATGAGTAGTAGTATAGTATCATACATATCAGCCACCTTTACTGCATCTGTAAAGGAAATAATTTAATTTTAACAATTATAGACTGGATTGGTTGTGGCATACAGTTATAAAATTCTTCAAGCACAGTACTTTTAATTCAAACAATTTGCCATAACTTTTCCCCACATTTGCTGCCCCATAACAACAACAGATTAGAGCAATTTTCTTAGCCAGTGGAAAACCAAGTAAGATTGTTGGTATAGTATCTTATTCTCCATATTTTTTTTACATTTTGGATAACCACATTTTAGTTAACATAATTTAACGTTTACAGATCAGAGTCAACTGTCTAGTATGTGTGGGCAAAATACTGGAATATCTTGACAAGTGGTTGGTTATGGATGACATTTTTCCATTTCTGGAGCAGATACCATCACGGGAATCTCCTGTAGTCATGGCTATTGTTGGTGAGTTGCCTATCATTGTGATGTTGAAGAGTGTCTAAGCAGTCCCATGTAAATATTCAGTAATCTTCTAATTCGGCAAGATCACAAGAAAAAAGTGATATCTTAACCCTCTGACTGTCGCAAGCCCCTTTCTGAAACTCATTCTATGTTGAGAAATTTTTGGAAAAAAAAAAAACTATTTTTTCTTATGAAATGATAGAGAATCTTTTCCCGATGGTAATGACAACAAAAGTACGAAATTTGATTGAAAACTTATGGAATTACACTCCCTCGAAGTTAGCGATCTCGGCGATATATACGCATCGGCGATTTCGCTGACTTTGAGCCCTATTTTCGGCCAATTCCATTGTTCCATTTGACCAAACTCATAGCTATTTCTTTAGACTACATTTTTTCTATCAATTGAGTACAAGAAACCACCCATTTACCAATTTCAACTACCCAATAAAGTGGTCAGAAATTGGCAATTTGGCCAATTTCATGTAAATTAAAAAAATGCCAATTTCAAAATGAGGATCAGAATAAACAGTGTAGACATTCTTGGCACTAAAATAACATATCATCTGTTCATTAGTCTCATCTCTAGGCCCCTCTTATATTACTCTTCCTTTCTATTTTTATTTTTTATTCACACAAAAAATAGAAGATTTACTGTTATGCAGACTGCTGCATTATTGTAAAACTGGTATAAATAATATCAGTGCACTAGTGAAAGAACATTAGACTCCCCAGTTGACGTGTATTGGACGTGTGGTGTGATTTGCTTACTCTTGAACATTGGTAAAAATCGAACATTTCCGCTACTTTGAGCTCAATTTCATCATGAAACTAATCAAAATCATCTCCATTTCTGTAATATGTTTTCCATTCTATCAAATGAGACCAAGAAAACGAGAATACAACCATAAATACTATACAAAAGTACACCTCAAAGTCAGCATTTTAATCCAAAAACACGGTCGGAGTTTTTTTTTCTCATTATGCACTGCGTGCTGCAGGATTTTTTTATACAGTGCAAACTGACCACACAGACCCATTCTCTCACATGTGGGCCTACCAGCTTTCTCCTGCTTGATTTGAAGCCGCTAGAATTATTGAATATACAGTATATATACGTCCGAAACACTGGCTCATAAGACGTATATATACGACTGAAACAATCAAAGGGTTAATATGAATCTTAAACAGTTTGAAAGGGAATTAAATTCCAAGGACCCTCATCATATCTTAATCACATTCTTGAGGAATGTGACTTGATGGATTACAAAGGCACTCGAAATTCGTTTCTCTTTTAAAGTAATTAAGTTACATGCTATTCTAACCTGCTCTTAAGTTTTTTAATCCATCATGGGACGTTTTCCATTTTTACTCATTTTTTTTGTATTTTGAATTCTCAATATCCAAACCATCAAAGTATGTTTCTTAACTCATCCTATAAACTAAAATTTCTAAAGTTATATGCTTGCATACCTAAAGTCTTATCTTAGCAATAGACACCAGTGCATGTCCACTGCCAAATACAGTCCAGGCAGGCCCTGCTTTATAGCGCTTCGCTTTGCAGCATTTTGCTTGACAGCATTTCATTAATGCATCAGTTTCAGTTATATCCATTCTTCATTTATTCAGACTTTCTACAATAAATATATTCACCACTCATTATAAGCTAGGGATGAAAATGCCTTAATGTTAGTAATGTGTGTACAGTAGACCCTCAACCAACAGCATTAATCCGTTCCAGAGAGCTTGCCATTAGTCGAATTTGCCGTTGGTCGAATTAATTTTCCGCATAAGAAATAATGGAAATAGAATTAATCCGTTCCTGACACCCCAAAGTCTGATTTTTTTTTTTTTACATGAAATATATTATTCCTTACACCAGAACAAATGGGACATGCAAAATAAAAAATAATCCATACCCCCGGCCGGGATTGAACCCGCGGTCATAGAGTCTCAAAACTCCAGCCCGTCGCGTTAGCCACTAGACCAGCTAGCCACAATAAGATTCATCCAACTAGGTATATTTCTACACCATAGGAAGGTTAGCACAGGCACCACTGTGACCACAAATGCAAGTTTTTACAGACGAATCTCCAGCTAGCGTGGCCGTGACGAACTCTAGCTCAAGTCCCTTCACTGCCGTCAACATGACTTAAGAAATCGTAATGACACGATTGCAAATGCCTCTTACCTTTATTGTGGAGTTGTTGATGAGTGATGTGCCAGCAGCAGGGGAGATTCAGGATTGTCTATTGCTTGGAAGGAGAATCCCCTTCCATAAAGACTTCAGGTACCAAGTCTTTTGGTGGGGTTACCTCCCTTCTTGGTTTTTTAATGCCACTAGGACCAGCTTGAGAGTCACTGGACCCCTGTCGCACAAAATATCTGTCCAGAGAGCTCTGTTTCTCACATGCCCTTAGGATTTCCCTAAAATGGGACATGAGAGTGTCATTGTACATGTTGCCAATGCGGCTTGCAAATTCTGTGACAGGATAAAATTCTTCGATAAATGCTTACACCTTCGTAAACATTGAACGCATTTCCCTAATCCTTGACGAAGTCATCTTCCTCCCTCTTTCTTCATCCTGCTCTGTAGAGCATTCCTGAGATGTGATCTGTTGCTGTTGCACCTGAAGCTCTTGCAGGTCTGCAGTGGTTAGTTCTTCCTCATCATTCGGCACCAACTCTCCCACATCCTCGTCACAAACCTCCAACCCCAAGGACTTCCCCAATGACACAATAGCTTTCACTACTGGCATAGCCTCCTGAGGGTTAGCCCCAAACCCTTCAAAATCCCTCTCTTCTACACATTCTGGCCAGTTTCCTCCAAGCAGAGTTCAAGGTCCTCTTAGTCACTCCCTCCCAAGCCTTACCTATAAGGTTTACACAACTGAGGATATTGAAGTGACCTTTCCAAAACTCTCTTAGGGTCAATTGAATGTCTGAGGTCTCTTCAAAGCACTTTTGAAACACTGCTTTTGTGTAGAGTTTTTTGAAGTTTGAAATGACCTGCTGGTCCATGGGCTGGAGGAGAGGAGTTGTATTAGGAGGCAAAAACTTCACCTTAATGAAACCAAACTTCCCTGCAATTTCCTCTTGCAAGTTGTGAGGATGAGCAGAAGCATCATCCACTACCAGGAGGCGCTTGAGTGACAATTTCTTTTCCTGGAGGTAATTTTTCACAGTGGGGCCAAACACACCATAAAACCAGTCCAAGAAAAATTCCCTAGTGACTCATGCCTTACTGTTTGATCTCCACAGCACACACAAATTACCCTTGACGATATTGTTTTTCTTGAACACACTGGGAGTATCAGAGTGATACACCAATAAAGGCTTCACTTTGCAATCGCCACTAGCATTACTACGCAACATTAATGTCAGCCTATCTTTCATAGGCTTATGTCCTGGGAGTGCCTTTTCCTCCTGAGTAATGTAAGTCCTGTTTGGCATTTTCTTCCAAAACAGGCCTGTTTCGTCACAATTAAACACTTGTTCAGGTTTTAAGTTTTCAGTCTCTGTGTATTCCTTAAAGTCCTTCACATATTTTTCAGCCGCATTTTTGGTCACCACTGGCTGCCTCACCATGCCTTACCACATTGAATATTAAATCTCTCAAACCAGCCTTTGCTGGCCTTAAATTCATCAGCAGCAGCACTGTTTTGAGGCATTTTCTTAATGAGATCATCATGCAACTTCCTTGCCTTTTCACAAATTATAGACTGAGAAACACTATCACCTGATAATTGTTTTTCGTTTATCCATACCAATAACAGTCTCTCTACCTCTTTAATTATTTGTGGTCTCCGTTTTGAAAACATACTTGAACTTTTCACAGCAACAGCTTCCTTGATTGCCTGTCTGTTAGCCAATATAGTACTGATGGTTGAATGTGATTTGTTGTATTGCCTTTCCAACTCAGCCATATGGACTCCACTCTCGTATTTTTCAATGATCTCCTTCATTTCCATCATAATTCTCATCCTTTTTAACACAGGCTTGGCACTAGAAGCTTTCTTGGGGCCCATGGTGGCTTATTTAGTGGTTACAAGCACTAAAAACAGTGGAATAATAGAAAAATATATGGGAGGCACACATGGAAACCAACCGCAACAGCTTGTAAACAATGGCACACTGAGTCTTGGAGTGGCTGGGCCTGCTCAGGTCGTGCTCCCAGCACATGGACATGTTCTGGATGAACGTCGTTGGTAGAGACTTTTTTTATGCCAAAAAGCGCCATTAGACGAAATTGCTGTTACTTAATGCCACCATTAGTTGAGGGTCCACTGTACTGTACAGTGGATCCCCGGTTATCAGCCTGTGCAGATGTCAGCCAAATTGGATTTCGGCCGCTTTTTTGGCTGAAATTCTATCCTGGATTTCAGCTGGCAACTCGGAAATTGGCCATATTGGACGCATCTGCCCGCCATACTACCGCATGCGTGAGTCGGTCTGGCTGTGTCTCTCGGTGAGTGAGCATCACTCTACACATTCATCCAAACATTTCGTTATAATCCATTGTTTTTTGTGGTTGTTTATAGAGTGCGGCTGTGAAATAAGCCACCATGGGCCCAAAGAAAGTTCATAGTGCAAGCCCTTTGGCAAAGAAAGTGAGAAACACGATAGAATTCAGTGACAAAACCTTGTCCCACTTCAGGCAATTCTTAAAGAGATGCCAGAAACAGACCTCTCTGGACAGTTTTTTGTGCAACAGGGGTGCAGTGACTCTCAAGCTGGTCCTAGTGCGAGTAAAAGACAAAGAAAGGAAGTAACCCCGGATAGGGACTTGATACCTGAAGTCCTTATGGAGGGGGATTCCCCTCCCTAACAATAATCAGTCCTCCCTCTCTCCTCCTCCCTGTCTTCCATACGCCAACAAGAATCTTAGTTATTTTATTTAGTTTTCATTGTTTTGTGTATGTAAAACTATAGTTATTCTTTAACCCTTTGACTGTTTTGGTCGTATATAATATGTCTTATGAGCCAATGTGTTTGACATATTAATATGCCAAAATTCTAGCGGCTTCAAATCAAGCGGGAGAAAGCTGGTAGGCCCATATGTGAGAGAATGGGTCTCCATGGTCATTGTGCACAGTATAAAAAAAATTGGGGAGCCAGTGGTGCATTGTGGGAATGCCATTTCAGTAGTCCTTGTTCAGCATGCCTAGGGGTAAGAAATATCTGACTCCCCGGCAAATCTGGGCCTCTTCTCTTCCCAAGTGATTGCTCTAACACAGATGAAAGTGTCAGTGAAGATGAATTTCATGGTTTTGAGGAGTTTGTGACCGAAAGCAATGCTCAGGATGCCAGAAGAAAGAAAGAAAGAAAGAACAAAAGTGAAAAAAGGAAAGAAAGAAAGAGAAAGAAAAGAAAGAAAAAGAAAGAAAGAGAAAGAAAAAGTGTCGCGTGGGTACTTAGTGGAGATGTAGGAGTAAGGAATACACTCATGGGACGGTTGGTACATGTATATTGGCAGAGTCTTGAGGGGAGTGTAGCCCAGCCTACCTGTTCTTGTCTGTGCCTGAGAACAGAGTGAGAGTGGGTTTCTCTCATACCCTACTCACATAGGTGTAGCTTAGTGACATCACAAGCTAGTCATTGAGCCTAGCAAGGGATCCTATATATAATATGGTTGATACAACTTACGATATACTACACAAGTATATTACATTAGGAATTCAGTAACCCTACTGACAGTGGGACCAGATGAGTGTAGGTGGGGGCAGGGGAGTGTGAGTGGGACTGGGTGAATGTTTGTTACATGGGGTTCGAAACATGGATTGGGTAATAAACACTCACATTGGATGTTCTCGTATGTATATTGAATGGAATATATGGGAACGCCAGGCCTGACCTGTCTCCTCTCTTGTATCTGATACTAGTAGTATCAGTTACCAATAGTGTCAGTAGTAATGACTCATACCAGCCGTTACTGATTCACCACCTTCTGAATGACTGTTATATCAAGAAAGAAAGAATGAAGAAAGAAAGAATGAAGAAAGAAAGAATGGAAGAAAGAAAGAATGGAAGAAAGAAAGAATGGAAGAAAGAAAGAATGAAAAAAAAAAGAAAGGTAGGTAGGTAGGAATGATGACACTTGACCATTTACCTAGATAACTACCTAACACAACTGCCTGCTACTACTTTGAAGAAAACTGCTCAGACAAGGTGCTTTGTCTGTGCACATACAAAAAAAAACAACAAAAACTCAGAGGTACTTGTTTTATGTGTGAGGAATGTAAAACACCATTGTGTATGAAACCATGTTTCAAAGAGTTCCACAAGCTGCAGAACTTCTAGGAACATGTCCAGTGACTGTACATTTGTATATATATTATAGAACAATAGTAATAAAAAATTTTTTGTATTGTTGGTTTGTGTAAACAAGTTTTCTAAACAATATAATGATAATAATGTTTGTGCGGTTATTGTGTTGCATACGATTGTATATATGTACATTGCAGGCCACATAAGTTATTTGGAAAAAAAAATATTGGAAAATACAAGAAACCTTCGAATGGGAGTAAATATAAGTGTACCGGGTGAGTGACATTCATTGCTGTTGCCATATGCTGCTCATTTTCTACCAACTTTGCACCTCTATATCTCGGTAAGTAATGATCGCAAAAAAAGTTTTTAGGCTTAAAACACTCAGCAGGTTAATCCTAACATTTTGGTGAGAAAAAATAATTTTTTTATTTTTCGAATATTTTTCGACATAGGAAGACAGTTTCAGAAATGGGCTTGCGACAGCCAAAGAGTTAAAAAATGTATTTTTTGTTAATATTTTTGGGCGTCTGGAATGGATTAATTGTATTTACATTAATTTGTATTTGCATTTATGGGAAATATTACTTCGGTTTTTCAGCCTTTTTGGATTTAGGCCGACCTTCTGGAATGGATTACGGCCGAAATCCGGGATCCCACTGTATATGCATTTTTTAGGCCTAGCTCTATTGCTCACTTAATATATGATAGTGTAAACATGATATCAGGCTTTTATATGCATATGAAAGTGAGAAAGGGCTGTTTCACTTTACAGCAATTTTCACTTTACAACAATAGCCTGGAACCTAACCTACTGTATAAGGAGGGCCCTTCCTGTATATAAATACTGTACATTCACCTCCTCCATATTCCCTTCATATTATAAGACATGTTGAACATAGTAATTGTTTGTTATATTTTAATGATACTTGTAACTCATGGAAAGCATATAAATCTATAGGGGAAGGAAGGCGGGGTAGGGGTCGTCCTCGAAAGGGTTGGAGAGAGGGGGTAAAGGAGGTTTTGTGGGCAAGGGGCTTGGACTTCCAGCAAGCATGCGTGAGCGTGTTAAATAGGAGTGAATGGAGACGAATGGTACTTGGGACCTGACGATCTGTTGGAGTGTGAGCAGGGTAATATTTAGTGAAGGGATTCAGGGAAACCGGTTATTTTCATATAGTCGGACTTGAGTCCTGGAAATGGGAAGTACAATGCCTGCACTTTAAAGGAGGGGTTTGGGATATTGACAGTTTGGAGGGATATGTTGTGTATCTTTATATGTGTATGCTTCTAAACTGTTGTATTCTGAGCACCTCTGCAAAAACAGTGATAATGTGCGAGTGTGGTGAAAGTGTTGAATGATGAAAGTATTTTCTTTTTGGGGATTTTCTTTCTTTTTTGGGTCACCCTGCCTCAGTGGGAGACGGCCGACTTGTTGAAAAAAAAAAAAACTTGTAACTCTCACTTAAAATGTATTAAATTTAAAATAATTAGATTTTCAGCAGAAGAGTTCAGCCCTTGTATCCATCACATATTTTAATAGAAAGCATTGTGGAAAAGATACAAATGTATTAGTACAGGAATACATTGCTAAAAGAGTTAATGATATTTAATGAAAGGTACATGATGAGATAGGTTTGTCACAAAGGAACTTTATTGAGTGTTGAGATAGGTAAATGTTTTCTAAAGATAAACTTGCTTGTACACTATGTTTCTGGTTTAGAAAAGTACTGTATCAAATATGATATTGTGATGAGCAAGTATGTTTAATATTGAGTAACATTAATCATTCTTTATGCAGGTATCTTCAAAGTTGCACTGAACCATAAGAAATTAGGCATCACCAAGGAGATCTTAGCAACGAAGTCTCTACCATTCCTCTTTCCTCTCAGCATCGAAAACTCTCTCACACCTTCTCAGCACTCAGCAATTATGGCACTCATTAAGGTTTGAATGATAAACTTGCCAAAAATGAGAAATTTTGTAACTTATTTTTTCTGTATGTCATAATATTTAGACACCATTTATATTATTATTATTATTATTGTTATTATTATTATTATTGTTATTATTATTATTATTATTATTATTGTAGCAGTAGTAGTATATTATAATCATGGAGAAGTGCTAAATCCATAGGGGTCATATACTGGCTGCAGAATGGAAGGTAATCAGATTTGATTGAAGGAAGAGGAAGGCTGCTCTAGTTTGTTGAATCAAAAGCCCTTCAGCATCGAGGCATCATCCCTTCTCCTTGAAGGGTTATTAGCAGCAGAGACACAAAAATCATGTGTACTTTCACATTTATTCTAATTGTATGAATGATCATATGCAGATGTTATCTAGTTATGAACTTTTGAGTTACTAGCTCTTGCTTCACATGGCGAGGGCCTGGGTTTGATTCCCAGCCAGAGTAGAAATATTGGGTACCTGGGTGCTAGTCAACTGGTGTGGGTCGCATCCTGGGACACTGACCTAATTTGCGCAAAATGTTCAGCTTAACAAGGGGATTTCTATATAATAGTATGTCATTTATGTCAGCTAGGCCTGTATACCATGTACATTTACTTGTAGGAAATAAAGATATTATTATTATTATTATTATAATAAAATTAGAATTTTTTTTTTATTAACACATCAGCTGATTCCCACCAAGGCAGGGTGGCCCGAAAAAGAAAAACTTTTATCATCATTCACTCCATCACTGTTTTGCCAGAGGGGTGCTTTACACTACAGTTATAAAACTGCAACATTAACACCCCTCCTTCAGAGTGTAGACACTGTACCTCCCATCTTCAGGAACTCAAGTCCGGCCTGCCGGTTTCCCTGGACCCCTTCATAAATGTTACTTTGCTCACACTCCAACAGCACATCAAGTATTAAAAACCATTTGTCTCCATTCACTCCTATCAAATACACTCGCGCACACTGGCTGGAAGTCCAAGCCCCTCGCACACAAAACCTCCTTTAACCCCTCCCTCCAACCCTTCATTGGCTGACCCCCTCCTCCCCCCCTTCCCTCCACTACAAATTTATACACTCTCGAAGTCATTCTGTTTTGTTCCATTCTCTTTACATGTCCGAACCATCTCAACAACCCCTCCTCAGCTCTCTGGATAATAGTTTTGGTAATCCCACACCTCCTAATTTCCAAACTACGAATTCTCTGCATTTTATTCATACCACGCTTTGCCCTTAGACATGACATCTCCACTGCCTCCAGCCTTCTCCTCGTTGCAACATTCATCACCCATGCTTCACACCCATACAAGAGTGTTGGTACAACTATACTCTCATACATTCCCCTCTTTGCTTCCATGGACAGAGTTCTTTGTCTCCATAGACTCCTAAGTGCACCACTCACCCTTTTCCCCTCATCAATTCTATGATTCATCTCATCCTTCACAGACCCATCTGCTGACATGTCCACTCCTAAATATCTGAATACAGTCACCTCCTCCATACTCTCTCCCTCCAATCTGATATCCAATCTTTCGTCACCTAATCTTTTTTGTTATCCTCATAACCTTACTCTTTCCTATATTCATTTTTAATTTTCTTCTTTTACATACCCTACCAGATTTATATACCAACCTCTGCAACTTCTCTTCAGAATCTCACAAAAGCTCAGTGTCATCAACAAAGACCAACTGTGACAACTCCCACTTTGTGTTTTTTTCTTTATCTTTTAATTCCACACCTCTTGCCAAGACCCTAGCATTCACTTCTCTTACAACCCCATCTATAAATATATTGAACAACCACGGTGACATCACACATCCTTGTCTAAGGCCTACTTTTACTGGGAAATAATCTCCCTCTCTCCTACACACTCTAACCTGAGCCTCGCTATCCTCATAAAAACTCTTCACTGCTTTCAGTAACCTACCTCCTATACCATACACCTGCAACATCTGCCACATTGCCCCCTTATCCACTTTGTCATATCTTCTTTCAACACACCGACCGTATCCCACCAAGGCGGGGCGGCCCAAAAGGAAAAATGAAAATTTCTCCTTTTATATTTAGTAATATATACAGGAGAAGGGGTTACTAGCCCCTATACTCTCACTAGCCCATCTATCCTCTGATAGTTGTTTATATCTTACCCTAACTGCCTCCTCTCTTAGTTATACACCTTCACCTCTCTCTTGTTGGTAGACAGCAACCGCCCAGGGAGGTACTACCGTCCTGCGAAGTGAGTGTAAAACTGAAGCCTGTAATTGTGTTACACGATGGTAGGATTGCTGGTGTCTTTTTTTTTCTATCTCATACACATGCAAGATTTCAGGTATGTCTTGCTACTTCTACTTACACTTAGGTCACACTACACATACATGTACAAGCATATATATACACACACCCCTTTGGGTTTTCTTCTATTTTCTTTCTAGCTCTTGTTCTTGTTTATTTCCTCTTACCTCCATGGGGAAGTGGAACAGAATTCTTCCTCTGTAAGCCATGTGTGTTGTAAGAGGTGACTAAAATGCCAGGAGCAAGGGGCTAGTAACCCCTTCTCCTGTATATATTACTAAATGTAAAAGGAGAAACTTTCGTTTTTCCTTTTGGGCCACCCCGCCTCGGTGGGATACGGGCGGTGTGTTGAAAGAAAGAAAGAATGTAGCCTAAACATTAAACTGTTTCTAGGTACATGTACTGTCTTTATTATTTTTAGAATTTTACCTTTTCCTAACTTCTTGCATCACTAGTAATGTTTCTGAGTGCTATAGTTAATATGTATACAGGTGCTCTTCACTTTACAATGGTTAGACTTACAATATTTTGATTTACGATGGTGTGATAGCAATGCACATTTGTACTGTACAGTACTGTATATTTATTGATAGGATAAACTTTTTTTTTTAACACATCGGCTGTTTCCTACCGAGGCAGGGTGACCCAAAGAGAAAGAAAAACTCAAAAGAAAGAAAAAACTTTCATCATCATTCAGCACTTTCACCATCATTCATACATAATCACTATCTTTGCAGAGGCACTCAGAGATGACAGTTTAGACGTCACTCCAAACAGCCAATATCCCAAACCCCTCCTTTAAAGAGCAGGCATTGTACTTCCCATTTCCAGGACTCAAGTCTGGCTAATCGGTTTCTTTGCATCCCTTCACAAAATATAAGAATATAAGAAAGAAGGAACACTGCAGCAGGCCTACTGACCCATGCGAAGCAAGTCCATGTCACCCTCCGGCTTAGCCCAATGACTGACCTAGTTAGGTCATTTCCACTTAAGGAAGGAGCACGGCATCAGACCTAGTAGCACAAGCTAGTCAGGTCCAATTCACACCCATCCATGCCCACTCATGTATTTATCTAGCCTATTTTTAAAACTACACAACATTTTAGCCTCTATAACTGTTCTCGGGAGTTTGTTCCACTTATCCACAACTCTATTACCCTGCTCACACTCCAACAGCTCGTCAGGTCCCAAAAACCATTCATCTCCGTTCACTCCTATCTAACATGCTCACATATGCTTGCTGGAAATGCAAGCCCCTTCCCCACAAAACCTCCTTTACCCTGTTCCTCCAACCCTTCCTAGAATGATATGATAAACTTGTATTCATTTACTTCTCAATACTGGTACAGTGGTCCCTCAATAATCGTCCGGCCTGAAAGTCATCCATTTTGGAAATAGTCCCATTATTTCGTCTAAACATTGGCTTGCAAATTGTCCATTAACTCACTAATCGTCCTGCGTCTGGGACGCGTACTCACGCTCTGAGCCGCCTGGGCCTGCCTTCCCAGCCAGTGTGCCATTGTTTACCAGTGAGTGATGGTCCCCTCACTTGCTCCTACGAAATATTTCATAATATTCCATTGATTTTAGTGCTTGCAAGTGCTAAATAAGCTACCATGGCTCCAAAGAAAGCTTCTAGTGCCAGCCCTTTGGTAAAGAATATGAGAAACACACATAATTTATGAAAAAGTTTGGTAAACACTATGACATATTTATTAGAAAACGTTTCGGTCCTGGGACCTTGATCACTTCTAACATACAGAGGTAGAAAGACATTATATATATATACAGTGGACCCCCGCATAACGATCACCTCCAAATGCGACCAATTATGTAAGTGTATTTATGTAAGTGCGTTTGTACGTGTATGTTTGGGGGTCTGAAATTGACTAATCTACTTCACAATATTCCTTATGGGAAAAAATTCGGTCAGTACTGGCACCTGAACATACTACTGGAATGAAAAAAGTTTGTTAACCGGGGGTCCACTGTATAGGCAGAGAGTGAGGTGTGAATGACTCATGACCTGAGGAATATCATGTTTTGATGAGGACGGGTAGACGATGAAATCATGTGACTCCTGTGTTGTTGGGTTGGTGGTGCTTAAGTATCACGTATGCCAATGTTTTTGAAATTTTGTAGTTTCCAGTGTTGCGTTCTATAGTGTCGGTGACGGCGATTAGTGAGGCTTCTAGGCACCGTCGGTGTCTGAGGTTTGGTTCGGTGAGAACGAGTTGTGCCTCATTCGAGTTCATCAAATGCCCCGTGGAGTCTTTCTGGAGGACACAGGCATACCTTTCATCGTCTCTGTTAGAGGCATTTCGATGCTCATTCAGGCGGACTGCAAGATCTCTGTCTGTCTCGCCTACATATTTCTTGGGACAGAACCCACAGGGGATAGTGTAGACGCCTGCTGTAGAAGTTAGAGGTGTGGGGCTGCGTTTCATAGTGAAATCTTTGATAGATGATGTGTTTATGGTGGAAACATTGATGTTACTCATAGCAAGTGCCCGGCGAGTATTCGTGGCAACATGAAAAAGTTAGTAGAAAAATACAAAGGTGGTGGTGGTGGTGGTAGAGTGGAAGCAGTTGTGATAGTGGTTGATGGTGGTAGAAGGTAGTAGTGATGGTGGTAACAGTTGTAATAGTGGTAGAAAGTCGTAGTGATGGTGGTAGAGGGTTCCTTCTTTAGT